CCCTCAGCTCCACAGTACACAGTCACTCGCCCTCGGCACCCCAGTACACAGTCACTCGCCCTCAGCACCACAGTACACAGTCACTCGCCCTCGGCACCCCAGTACACAGTCACTCGCCCTCAGCACCACAGTACACAGTCACTCGCCCTCAGCACCACAGTACACAGTCACTCGCCCTCGGCACCCCAGTACACAGTCACTCGCCCTCAGCTCCACAGTACACAGTCACTCGCCCTCAGCACCACAGTACACAGTCACTCGCCCTCAGCACCACAGTACACAGTCACTCGCCCTCAGCTCCACAGTACACAGTCACTCGCCCTCGGCACCCCAGTACACAGTCACTCGCCCTCAGCACCACAGTACACAGTCACTCGCCCTCAGCACCACAGTACACAGTCACTCGCCCTCAGCTCCACAGTACACAGTCACTCGCCCTCAGCACCACAGTACACAGTCACTCGCCCTCAGCACCACAGTACACAGTCACTCGCCCTCAGCACCCCAGTACACAGTCACTCGCCCTCAGCACCACAGTACACAGTCACTCGCCCTCAGCACCCCAGTACACAGTCACTCGCCCTCAGCTCCACAGTACACAGTCACTCGCCCTCAGCTCCACAGTACACAGTCACTCGCCCTCAGCTCCACAGTACACAGTCACTCGCCCTCAGCTCCACAGTACACAGTCACTCGCCCTCAGCTCCACAGTACACAGTCACTCGCCCTCAGCACCACAGTACACAGTCACTCGCCCTCAGCACCCCAGTACACAGTCACTCGCCCTCAGCACCACAGTACACAGTCACTCGCCCTCAGCACCCCAGTACACAGTCACTCGCCCTCAGCACCACAGTACATGAAATATTGTCTCTGTCAGCCAACACAATGTGTGTGTTTAGCCGCAAGTTTTTCAGTGTTGTTGGTTTGTATTCCGAGATAGAGCAGAGTTGTTTGAATGAGGTGATGGGCTAAGCTAAACAAGCTGCCTACTCGCTTACCATTACAAAAATGTGTTGTGGTTACTTACCTGTATGTACTCACCTGCATGTTGCTACTAGAGTATCAGCTCCTGGACCCCGGGGGAGCCGGTCGGCCGAGCGGACAGCACGCTGGACTTGTGATCCTGTGGTCCTGGGTTCGATCCCAGACGCCGGCAAGAAACAATGGGCAGAGTTTCTTTCACCCTATGCCCCTGTTACCTAGCAGTAAACTAGGTACCTGGGTGTTAGTCAGCTGTCACGGGCTGCTTCCTGGGGGTGGAGGCCTGGTCGAGGACCGGGCCGCGGGGACACTAAAAAGCCCCGAAATCATCTCAAGATAACCTCAAGAAGATAACCCCTCGTCACCTGCTGTAATGGTTCCCGCCCTTCTTGTTTGTGTCTTATAACACACTTGAAGCTGTGTATGGAGTTGGCTTTAACTTTCACCTCATTCCACTTGCTCACTGTTCCTACACTGAAGAAGTGCTTCCTTACATCGCTGTAAGGAAGCTTCTTACCAGCCATGTCCTCTCGTCCTGCCGTCGCTTAACAGTTCGGCTCTGTCCACTGTCAATGCCTCTATGAATCATGTATGTTGTGATCATGTCTCTTGCCCCTCTTCCTATGTCTTCTGGGAGGAAGATGTAGCTCAGTAGCCCCCCCCCCCCAATCCTCGCAGATACTGTATTTGGTGATTTTTCTACATAAAGGCCTTCTAATATTACTTCATATTTGTTCTTTATGGTGTATACCAGCCACTTGGACTGGACGGTAGAGCGACGGACCTACTTCACGCAGGTCGGCGTTCAATCCCCGACAGTCCAAGTGGTTGAGCACCATTCCTTTCCTCCGTCCCATACCAAATCCTTCTCTGGTCTTTCCAAGTGATATATAGTCGTGGTGGCTTGTCGCTTTCTCCTGATAGTTCCTTTACCTTGATGTTGCATACTGAGGCAGGTTACACGACTTTTGCTTCAAGCAGGTTTCATCTGGTTACCTCCTGTGCCGAATTTCCTAATGTTTCCTATACATTCCTTTTCAGTTTCCTGGTGTGTTGTCTTGCCCTGCATTCCCTCTCCTGGAAAGGACTGCCTCTATTCACTTCATGTATTCCTCTTATGATCACAACGTGTAAGATACTGTCACCTCTGGACTTTATTTCGTCCAGTGGAAAATACACTTCCCACCATACACTGCCATGCAGGCAACATACACATGCAAGCAGCAGGCATGTAGATGTAGGCAAGAGACGGGTGCAGGCAACTGATTCTGCCGGTGGAGCTAACGACCCTAACTACCAATTAAGGCCGTAGTTAATTCATTTTGTCCTTGTTTGGCCCTGTTGAGGGTTGGCAGACCTCGGCCAGAGGCGGTCGTCCCCTTCGTAATTGCTGCTCCCCGGCAAGTTCTCCTTCAGCATTATATGACAAAGATTTTAGGGAAGACGGGACACGACAAGGGGCAGCTCTCATTCTGTAACATAGTAGAAAGATTTTTTTATTTAAATCTAAATAAATAAATAAATAATAAATAAATGTTTATTCAGGTAAGGTACATACATACAAGAGGTTTTACAAAAATTGATAGATCTATAGATAGAGCTAGTACATACAATGCCTAAAGCCACTATTACGCAAAGCGTTTCGGGCAGAAATGACTATCATTAACTGCAAATTGTGGGAAAACGAGACATGATTAAATAATTTAGATAATGCTGTTAAAACCAGTTATCTCCGAGTGTCGATGGTGCTTGGAGACTTGTGTGCCAGACCCACTGACATATATGAGTGGTGGGTGGAGGTAATTTACTGTCAACAGGTGGAAAGGTGGCAACACTTGACTTAGCAGGTGGGTGTGGGATGGCTGCCAGGTCTGGCAGAGTGGGTGAGCAGGCTTGCAGGCCTGGCAGGGTTGATGGGTAGGATGGCACACCTGGCCTGATCTTTTTGTAAGCCTGGCTTTGTTGGTGGGAGGCATTATTGCAAGATGATAAAATGTCAGCGTCTGTGTCTCACAGCATCTAGTTTCTACGTACCACTTGAGAGGTGCTCCAGCACCCAGCCACAGCGCTCACGACCGCCGACATTAGAGCTGTTCTGTATAGTACTAGACAGTACGTGTTGACGTGGTTACCTTGTCTTGCTGTGGTGACCTTCAGTGTTGACGTGGTTAATATGCTCAAGTTAGTTATCCATTGCAACAGTTGCTCTGGTGTGATCCAACTGGTAATTACCCAAATCTTACATTTTCATTTATGTTCGAGGTAGATCAGATTCCATTCCCCAAATGTGGTATTTGAATATCTATAAAAGAGAATGTTCGATATTTGAGGCAATATTCCCAAAACTTTGCAGGATGACTGGTGGTTGTTTTGGGATCTTCTTGAGGTTATCTTGAGATGATTTCGGGGCTTTAGTGTCCCCGCGGCCCGGTCCTCGACCAGGCCTCCACCCCCAGGAAGCAGCCTGTGACAGCTGACTAACACCCAGGTACCTATTTTACTGCTAGGTAACAGGGACATAGGGTGAAAGAAACTCTGTCCATTGTTTCTCGCCGGCGCCCGGGATCGAACCCAGGACCACAGGATCACAAGTCCAGCATGCTGTCCGCTCGGCCGACCGGCTCCCTCGGTCATAGAGGGGTTAGGGTCAACGCCAGTGTCCTCTTTGAATCCATTTTCCAACGTAGCTAAATATCCAGTTCCATCTTCACAAAGATTATTCAAGCATATTTTATTCTACACGTTGATTAAATGTTTGTCGTGTACTTGTGTTTTAATGGAGACATTGTGTAATGAAGATGATTACATTGATGGAGAGGACGGTGGTGAAGACGATGGGAGGCGCTGAAGACGGTAGGGGTGTTGATGGTCCTAGATGGGGGGGGGGCCTTGGTAGTGAAGATAGTTAGAGTGATGAGAAATGTCTTGTGCAATATAGATGGTTATGTAGCAAAGATTGTTACCAGCACGCGTGCGCCCGTACACGCACACACGCGTGCGCCCGTACACACACACACACACACACACACACACACACACACACACACACACACACACACACACACACACACACACACACACACACACACGCACGCGCGCGCGCGCGCGCGCACGCTAATGTAGATATGATAGAGCCCAGTAGGCTCAGGAATCTGTACACCAGTTGATTGACAGTTGAGAGGCGGGACCAGAGAGCTAGAGCTCAACCCCCGCAAGCACAAATAGGAGAGTACAAATAGGTGAGTACACACACACACACACACACACAGTTTCACAGAGACGTTAGAAAGAATTTTTTCAGTGTCAGAGTAGTTAATAAATGGAATGCACTAGGAAGTGATGTGGTGGAGGCTGACTCCATACACAGTTTCAAATGTAGATATGATAGAGCCCAGTAGGCTCAGGAATCTGTACACCAGTTGATTGACAGTTGAGAGGCGGGACCAAAGAGCCAAAGCTCAACCCCCGCAAGCACAATTAGGTGAGTACAGGTCACAGAAGCTGGTAAGTTGTGAGAGTTGGCGCGACCCTTGTGACCCGATACAAGCCTGGGCAACACAGTCGAGTACCACGAGATCAGGTCAGCTTTTGTCACCGACACTTGACGGATCAGCTATAGATTTACACTTCAGAGCAACTCCTGTGAATGTTTATTTTTTTCCTGACATTTGCAAACTGGGTATTTATATCCCTGTTAACTGTAGGGGGAGAGATCGAGGATGTCTTTGAGAACCTGCACACATACACAGTGTGTGACAGTTTTGGAGCTTAGAAAAACTGTTAAATTGCCATTCAACGCAAGAACCAATTCACAGTTTTAATACATCCCAACGACACTAACATCATAAAAGTGGCGCAATAATACACACGAGATGGAACTGCAACATATTACTCATGACACCATGTCGCAGTATATGTGAATGTTTCCCCCCATGCTGTCCAGACACCTCCCGATCTGTATACCGAAGTCACCTTCCCAGGCCACACGTGTCTAACCCATGTCCCTCTCATTTCAGTGGTGGAGATGCTGTGTCGAGCTGTAGTGGAGCCAATAATGGGACACGATGCTTGCTAAACCTGCAAGATCCACCTGCCTCCCACGACAACACTGACGTTCACTGGGGATGTGCCAAGTACGGGAGCGGTCGACCTCTACACCAAGACCTTAAACATTAGAACAAAAACAGTCTTGTCTCGATTGAAGTACTTAATTCCCTCGAGTAACTCAGAGGGACCCTCTGATGGGCTGTAACACGCTCAGCTCAGGCGCTCAGGTGCATGCTGGTGGCGTATAACAGTAGAATGTTGCCTGAGTGCCAAAAGGGAAGCCTCGTGGCCCTGTCGGTGGCAGTATGTATGGTGGCACCCGGACGAGCGTGACTACGTCTACCACTCTCGCCGACTCAACAGTTGCCCTTCCCAGCGTCAAGTGAATACAGTGCCATACGTAAATCTGATGTGAATTTCAAAGACCAATAGTTGAAGTTCTACCACATTTACAATGACTGCTTTCGTGAATTTACTCAATTATAAACAACTCAGTAAAAGTTGGATTTATATTAAAAAATGGGAATCAAAAGAAACCCATTTTCAAAATATATATTTTTGTATACAGTGAATTTTGTGAAATAAACACGCTTTACCGGTCGTGTTAAGTACTTACAATGAACTAAAAATTGTCATTAACAAACTGTGTTCTACATATCAGTATTCTACAGAGACTGAGTAGCTGGATTAGATTATCTTCTGTAGACCATTACACTTGCCTGATGTTATAGACTTGAGTGTGTGTTCACCGTCTTCGTGTCATGGAGTATGTCAAGTGTTCAATAGTATGTCTTAGTATGGTGTAACGTCAGCTGAGAACCTTCCTCTTTACACACTTCGCTGAGGGCCACACGAACCTATACTATATGTTGTGGATTAATGTTGCTCACAACTAATATTGAGCGGTAAGATGTGCTGGTGTGTGTTGAGCGTTTACCTCTATCAAATATGTATATATATCGTATTTAATGACGTAAAATAAATGACGAACGGACACTCCGGATAATAAACAAAGGCATATAATGAACTATTGGTGCAAAAAACTATTACAAAGACACAAACATCAGAAAATACAATCATGAATGTGTGTGTGTTATTAAACTATAATAATGTGAACGACGTCTTATCCTTGATGTTTTAACTTACGAGCTTCCAAAGACGCTTTCCTGCAGCCCACAGGTAGCAATGTTGTCAATGGGAAAAAATAGTAATAGTTTGAATAACCTTATTGCTTGATCAGTGTTACATAATTGTGATAAAAATAAGCAATCAAAATAGTGTTACCACATCCGTGTGAAAGTGAACGAACCTTGCAACTCAAGTCGTTTAGTGTTTCGAGACAAACACAAAGCCTTCCCTCTTCAGGCTAGCGGCTTCTGCGTGTATTATAGTGTGGACAAGTCTCCAGCCTCCCCACCCTCCTTCATCAACCTAACCGTTCCCACAATAAACGCTTTCTGAACTACATTTCTCTAGCTAATACGGCCACATAAGATTCTTTGGTGCTTGAAAAATACACAACAGTGAGCAAAAAAGGTACTTAAGAAAAAAATATCCTTAGTTTTGTCCGAGTCGGCAAGACCTCCCTCCGTCCCCCCCTCCCCACCACAACCAGTCTCTTGAATAAGTGTTAAGAAAACACTTGTTTCATGTTCCTCGGAGCAGGTGTAATGGGCGAGGCGGTCGAGCTGAGCACCAACGAGACGTGGGTGGCTGAAGGCGTGGCCAACGTCAGTGTGGGCGCCGCGGCAGGTACAGAGAGTGGATCAGAATGGGCGGACCTGACGGTGGGCTTAGTGAAGGGGGTGTGCATGGCGGTGATCATAGTGTGCGCGGTCCTGGGGAACCTCCTCGTGGTGGTCAGTGTGGTGCGTCACCGCCGCCTGCGGATCCTCACCAACTATTTCGTCGTCTCTCTCGCCATTGCTGATATATTAGTGGCAATAATGGCGATGCCCTTCAACGCCAGTGTGGAAATTACTGGACGTTGGTTGTTCAGTTACCGTATGTGTGACCTGTGGAATTCTTTTGACGTGTACGCATCCACCGTGTCCATTCTCCACTTGTGTTGCATTAGTATTGATCGCTACTATGCCATCGTGCGACCTTTGGAGTACCCTATGGTGATGACAGAGAAGCGGGTCATGGTGATGCTCTGTCATGTCTGGGTGGCGCCAATAGTCATTTCATTTCTTCCAATCTTCATGGGATGGTACACAACCAATGAACACCTGGAAAATCGAGCTAACAACCCCAGCCTCTGTATTTTCGAGGTAAACACGTCGTACGCGGTGGTGTCGTCGTCGATATCGTTCTGGATGCCGTGCAGTGTGATGATATACATGTATTATCGCATATACCTGGAAGCAGCCCGCCAGGAGCGCATGTTGCACCGACACACACGACTGTCCAGCGCCTCTCAAGCACCACACGCCGCCCTCGTCGTGTCCAACAACTCCTCCCACACCACCGTCACCACCGCCTTCGTAGGCAGCAACGGCGTGGGTTCTGACGCTGGCCTGGGCAGCGGAGGGTCAGGTCGCCGCCTCATGAACCACCGACCCTCTAGTGACACCCAGGAAGCCACGCCCACCAAGGAACGCAATCTCATAAAGTTGAAGCGTGAACACAAGGCAGCCCGCACACTGGGCATCATAATGGGAGCGTTCATTGTCTGCTGGCTACCATTCTTCACTTGGTACGTCACCATCACTCTTTGTGGCAAGGCCTGTCCCTGTCCTGACATTATTGTTTCAATCCTCTTCTGGATCGGATATTTCAATTCTATGCTCAATCCCGCCATCTACGCCTACTTCAACCGTGACTTCCGGGAGGCGTTTCGACGGACTCTTCAGTGCGTGTTCCGGTGCGGGCGACCTGTGGACCCGTGGCGGGGCCAGCTGGGGCCGCCCTACGACTCTGATCTCTGTCTACAGCACAATGGTCATTCTACAGTCGTCAAAACAAAGCCTCGACGTTACAGCACTGAGTGTGGTGTTTAAGCCCCCCCCCCCCCTTCCCGGTATCTAATTTAATGGCCCCCTTTTGTTTAGGATCTCCTTTGTACAAGGTTCCCCTTCTGTAACCTCTGTACACATGCATCATAAGAGTCTATTTTCGGTAGGTGTCAATACTGTACATGTTCAAGCTTGTCCCTTAAGTGGTACGAGTCAACCAATTGTATTAGATCTCATAAATAGACGTAACACATTAACATGGAATTTTATCTCACTACCTGTTCTCACTTATGTCAAACGAGCAATTAACTAATATTCTTAAAATTTAAATAAAAACGTACAGGAAGTTATGACCAAGTTGTGAGAAAGACCGTCTGAGTCCTGACAGTCTCCAGTTTGAGCCCTCAATGATACAGGATATAATTTTAATTCATCATTAACATAGGTAAAGACTAATATTTGCCTTACATGTTAATTTCCTTAATAAAGCAACTGAAATGCACCAGTGCATAATGTGTTCGTCACAAGGTCGGGTTCAGCACCCTTGGTCTGACCAGCACTGGATGGGTGACCGCAACACTTGTGCCAGGTAAGGCCTTAGTTACTAGGGTCAGGATTCATCAACCACTTACAAAACCTGTTTCCTTAATGATGGCGGCTTTGTTTTACATTCATTCAACAGTTTGAGCTCCTAAACTTCACAACGCCAAGGTTATTGTTATAAACAACCTCGTAGCCCTTCGAAGCTTATAAACTGTTCACTAAGTGTAAACAAGGCCGCCATGATTGGGGAAAAGATGTATTGGTGTTGTAAGTTAATGTGAAAATGTTTCACGAATCCTGGTCCAGGGTTCAAGCCCCATTCACTCGGTCATTAATTAATTTCTGAAAATTGTTCTATGTTCTAACAGTTTCCAACCTAAATGTATTGGAATTATACCTAAGAACATGATTGACAAAATAACTCGACTCGCCCATCCGCAGGATTTCATAGTCTTTGAACATTCTTAAAAATTGAGTCAAATTAAGAATCGTGCCATCAACTGTTTATGTACTCAAACAAAGTAAAGTGACCACCTATGTTCTATCACGTGACGCATGTCGGTCTGTGAGAGAGCTAGTAATCTAATAGTGAGAAAGAACCAGTAACAATAAAGTGTCACCAAGCCTCACCTGAAGAGTTACAGGCACTCTACATCCTGTGACAAGTAGCCTTGAACCTTGTATGTAACCAATGTTGTAACTCTCTTTGTGTAATGAAATTTTAAATAAAATAAAATGACAAAATATACATATATATACATACAAAAATAATAGGGGTGGTAGGAGAAGAAAATATTAGTGTTCAGTGAGAATCCACAAGGTCTTCTCTGAATACTCATTATTTTCTTCTCCGGGGCTATGGGTCCCTACACTTGCATCAAAGGTGGTACCCTCACAACTTTAATTTATATATATATATATATATATATATATATATATATATATATATATATATATATATATATATATATATATATATATATATATATATATATATATATATATATATATATATATATATATATATATGTCGTACCTAGTAGCCAGAACTCACTTCTCAGCCTACTATGCAAGGCCCGATTTGCCTAATAAGCCAAGTTTTCATGAATTAATGTTTTTTCGACAACCTAACCTACCTAACCTAACCTAACCTAACGTTTCGGCTACCTAACCTAACCTAACCTATAAAGATAGGTTAGGTTAGGTTAGGTAGGGTTGGTTAGGTTCAGTCATATATCTACGTTAACTTTAACTCCAATAAAAAAAAAATTGACCTCATACACAATGAAATGGGTAGCTTTATCATTTCATAAGAAAAAAATTAGAGAAAATATATTAATTCATGAAAACTTGGCTTATTGGGCAAATCGGGCCTTGCATAGTAGGCTGAGAAGTGCGTTCTGGCTACTAGGTACGATATATATATTAATTAATATATATATATATATATATATATATATATATATATTAGTATATTTTGGTAGCAGTCTTTCCTGTAGACATATATTATTAAATATGACCGAAAAAGTAAGATTAATAATTCTAACACGAATTTTCTCAATCTTTCGTACATTTCTTTTCACTGTTGGAGGTAAATCAAAAATCAATTCTCCAAAATTAATTTTTATTTCTAGTCTGACGCGACACGAGCGCGTTTCGTAAAACTTATTACATTTTCAAAGACTTTAGTTTACAAATACACAACTGAATAGAACTTACGCATCTCCGATTTTATATCTACATTTGAGTGAGGTGGATGGGGTGAGGTGGCATTAATAGGGTATTAATTTCATCAACACAAGACAGAACAAGAGGTGGCATTAATAGGGTATTAATTTCATCAACACAAGACAGAACACGAAACAATGGGTATTGAATAGAAGTGTTTGTAGAAAGCCTATTGGTCCATATTTCTTGATGCTTCTATATTGGAGCGGAGTCTTGAGGTGGGTAGAATATAGTTGTGCAATAATTGGCTGTTGATTGCTGGTGTTGACTTCTTGATGTGTAGTGCCTCGCAAACGTCAAGCCGCCTGCTATCGCTGTATCTATCGATGATTAGTGTGTTGTTTACTAGGATTTCTCAAACCATCGCCAGAGAAATCCTAGTAAACAACACAGAAATCATCGATAGATACAGCGATAGCAGGCGGCTTGACGTTTGCGAGGCACTACACATCAAGAAGTCAACACCAGCAATCAACAGCCAATTATTGCACAACTATATTCTACCCACCTCAAGACTCCGCTCCAATATAGAAGCATCAAGAAATATGGACCAATAGGCTTTCTACAAACACTTCTATTCAATACCCATTGTTTCGTGTTCTGTCTTGTGTTGATGAAATTAATACCCTATTAATGCCACCTCTTGTTCTGTCTTGTGTTGATGAAATTAATACCCTATTAATGCCACCTCACCCCATCCACCTCACTCAAATGTAGATATAAAATCGGAGATGCGTAAGTTCTATTCAGTTGTGTATTTGTAAACTAAAGTCTTTGAAAATGTAATAAGTTTTACGAAACGCGCTCGTATCGCGTCAGACTAGAAATAAAAATGAATTTTGGAGAATTGATTTTTGATTTACCTCCAACAGTGAAAAGAAATGTACGAAAGATTGAGAAAATTCGTGTTAGAATTATTAATCTTACTTTTTCGGTCATATTTAATAATATATATCTATATATAATATATATATATATATATATATATATATATATATATATATATATATATATATATATATATATATATATATATATATCGTACCTAGTAGCCAGAACGCACTTCTCAGCCTACTATGCAAGGCCCGATTTGCCTAATAAGCCAAGTTTTCCTGAATTAATATATTTTCTCTAATTTTTTCTTATGAAATGATAAAGCTACCCATTTCATTATGTATGAGGTCAATTTTTTTTATTGGAGTTAAAATTAACGTAGATATATGACCGAATCTAACCAACCCTACCTAACCTAACCTAACCTATCTTTACAGGCTAGGTTAGGTTAGGTAGCCGAAAAAGTTAGGTTAGGTTAGGTTGTTATTAGGTTAGGTTAGGTTAGGTTAGGTTAGGTAGGTACGAGGTAGTCGAAAAACAATTATATTCATGAAAACTTGGCTTATTAGGCAAATTGGGCCTTGCATAGTAGGCTGAGAAGTGCGTTCTGGCTACTAGGTACGACATATATATATATATATATATATATATATATATATATATATATATATATATATATATATATATATATATATATATATATATATATATATATATATATATATATATATATATATATATATATATATATATATATATATATATATATATATATATATATATATATATATATATATATATATATATATTTGGTTCCTCTTCCAATTTCCCTCCCCCTCTACTCTCTACCTTTCTTCCCTTCTCCTTCCCTCGATTCATCCATCTTTTTCCCCCTTCCTCTCTCCCTCCTCTCAGAAAATGCAATACTGAAACCCCGAATGAATTCAGTTACCATTTTTGAGTAAACTACGAAATGCAGCATAAGTAAATGGCAGGAGCAAGCATCAAAATTCTCGGGTAAACCCAATTTTATTTCAAACTGTCAAAATTGCAGGAGGGCACTTAAGATGCCTATATTTCTTAGAGGGTGTCACTTGGGAGAACCCCAACTAGCCTATAACACTCCCATACTACTATGTTTCATATTGGAAAGTTGGATTAGGCTAGTTCCAAGCACCCAAACCACATATAGTCGTAATGGTTTAGGTGCTTTCCCTTGATAATTCCCTCCTAATTTGGAGACGTTCTATTTTATAAAATTACTAGAGGGGGCACCAGGCAGTGTACTCTCTTCATTCTCCTTTCCCACTCCACTCTTCCCCCCATATCACCCCCCTTTTCCCCTCCCTCATCATCTCTGTCCTCTTCCCCCATTTTATAGCTTACATTTTCTGAGAGGGAACAGAGGTGGATGTTGGATAAGAGAAAAAAAACGTAGATGGGGTGGGGAAGAGGCGGAAAGAGATTAAAACGGTGAGGAGGGTAAGAGTGAGGGGGGATTGTGAGAATGAAGAGGAGGAAAAAGGGGAGATGTTGGAGAGGGAGAGGAATAGAGCATGAGAGGGGTGAGAGATACGAGAGAAGGAAGATTGGGAGAGTGGAAGGGGGAGGGAAAGACCCAGGCACAGCCAAGTATCCTCTCTAGTTTCTGACATCCTCCACTCTACTTTCTCTAAAGATATCGCAGTGGCGATAGCAGTACTCACCTTCCACATTCATCACTGCTGCCTCACTACAACATCTTTCACTGCAGTGGGGTACTGATTGAACTGCACCATGACAACTTCCTTCTTAGTTGAACACCACATATCCCTTCCAATGGTATGTCATCCTCCTGTCATCTCAAACATTGCAGCCTGCCTACAAGTAAAGGTATAATCTACTAGTTCCATCTTGGGACATTGTATCTATGCATACAAACTCATAATAAATAAATGTTAGGCCACACCAAACATTTCCTTCACCATATACATTCCCTAACAGCTTATTGCAAAGTGTGTTGTATTATAGTTACAGCACAAAGATGATAATATTTACATATTGAAAATGTATACCCGGTAATATATGAACATAATGTAGAGGGGCATTGAAGAGGCTCTAATGCAAACCTGCTGTGGTATCATTTGCAACTGAAACTACTAGGCGTATCCCT